GGGAGAAGGGAACTGGGATTGTCATGTAAAATAATCCTGTTTCTAATTCAAATAAAACAAGTTGGAAAAAAAAAACTACCCTCTCAAAACCCCCCAGAATTTCCATTTAATTTCTTTGGGCTCTGTTTTACATGAATTTTAAAATCATGCTTTTTAATGATTCAAATCTTAGGACTACTCATTAAGCTTCGTGTATTAAACAGGTGTATTAGAATATAAATATAATAGTTATCAAAACTAATCACTAGAACTTACTGATCACTTAGTATGTGCCATACACTTTTGTGATGACTATACAAAAGAACTGCCATAGGTGGAGGTACTGAGTGCAGGGGCAACTGAGTCCAAATTCTAGCATAATCTCTATAGTGTTTTGATTGTGGGCAACACTGCCTGCTGTCTTTGAATGCTCCAAAAAGCGGGGACACTACCTCACATGGTACATAGTGAACATCAAGACAGTCTAGTGATAATTGTTGTTTCTATGAACAGTGAAGGTAATGGGGAAGTCATTTTCAGTTTGGCCACTTAATCTAGTTTTAGGGGTGATCAGCATGCCTTAGTTATTGTACATCAGGGATGTATCTGATATTAGTGGTTTTGAGCCCCAGGGATATAATTTAGAATACACAGAGCCTTCCCTGCCTTAGAGTTTAGAGTTAATAGCCCACCTTAATGCCCAACTCTTAGTTCACACTATTTGATATTAGTTTAGTATAGGGTGTCTAGTTATGGGAGATACAATCTGTGGTAGTTTTAATTGTCAACTTGATGCAATCTATGATCACCTGGGAAGAAAGTCTCAATGAGGGGTTGACTAAATCAGGTTGGCCTGTGGGCATATCTATGGGGGATTGTTTTGATTCCTTTAGCTGAGAGGGAAGACCCACCCAGTGTGGCTGGCACCATTCCCTAGGCAGAGGATCCTTAACTGCATTGGACTTGGTGACTATTTGTGTGGTGTATTAATCAGGATTCTTTAGCGAAACAGGACTTGTAGAATGAGTCACCTATATGTATTATATTGAGGAGATTTATTAGAATGGTTTACAGGATGTGGTTCAGGAGTCCACCAATGGCTGTCTATCAGTGGAGGGTCTGTGAAGTTGTATGTCTCAGCTGGTCTTCCTTATATGCTGGAATCCCAAAGAAGTAGGCTGTAATGCCAGTGAAGGGATGGACTTGCTAGTGGGAGTGAGGGCAAGCAGGCGAAGAGAGCAAGCTTCCTTCTTCCATGGCTGCAAGCAGATGGATCTTCTCACTTCAAAAGATCTCTATTAATGGTGGATCTTCCCACCTCAAAGATCCAGATTAGAAATGGGTCTTCTTACTTCAAAAGATTTAATTAAGTGAGAAAAAAAAAATCCCTCACAGGTATTCCCAGCCATTTTTCAGTTTTAGATAATGTGGGTCTTCCTACTTCAAAAGATTTAATTAAGTGAGAAAAAAAATCCCTCACAGGTATTCCCAGCCATTTTTCAGTTTTAGATAATTCCAGACGTAGTCAAGTTGACCACCAACAATAGAATGGTTGCCACAACAAGTCTAGTTGTATGGTGTTTTCATTTGTAAATTCATTACAGTAAAGTGATTTTTATTAAAAATCCCAAGTAGTTCTGAAAACAAAATTGTGGAGAAAGCAAGCAGAGCTTTAGTGTGTAGCATTAATTCCTTTCCCTCTCTCCTGACTGTGGATACACTGCAACCAGCAATATCTGGTTCCTGCTGCCTCAACTTCTGGAGATAATGGGTTGTAACCTGCAATTCTGAACCAAAATAAGCTCGGCAATGGAAAATGAACATAGTCTTACCTCGGTTTTTAAAAGCCCTTCTAACTTTTAGCATATAATTTAGATGGATGCAATCCCAAAACACTGCTCCCAATCTCATGTCACCATCATTGAACCTCTTCCTTACTTAGAAAGGAAAGAGTCCCTAAAAGAGCCTGGCTTTGTCTACCTGGCTCTTCAGTAACTACTTTGAAGTTATTCTTATGATATTTCCATATGGATGGATTTTGAATTCGTATTTAAAATGAATGCATTCACTTTTGTTATTTATCACTATGATAAACAAATATAAACTACTAAAATTAACCACCAACACTATAACAGGTAGAAAATATTATTTAAGAATGCAATTTATGTGAGCTTCTCTCAATTTGAGTATCGTTTTAGAGTCTTGGCCTTCCTTTAACAGATTCAACTTATTTTAGTGAACTCCCATCACTAGTTTCTTTTAACATGCAAACTTTACCACTTAACCAATGGTCATCTCTCCATGTTAGTCCCATGTCTTTAAGACTGTCTCATTTCTGAAGGGATTTCTTCTTTCTGTAAGAAGTCCTAGGCCCATGCTGAAATTCCTCTAATACTGGAGTATTTATTTAAAAGTCCCAAGTGATGCTTAGTTACTCTTCCCCACCATATCTTGAGTGGCCAGTTACTTTGTCTAAAATCCATTGTCATCACCTCCTACTATCTGTGGTTCATCTTCTCTGTGGCTGTTTTATTTATTTATTTATTTTTTCAGTTTGATGACATTAGTGGCTTAGGTAGCTGACCATCTAGATTTTGAGTCATTTTCTCACCACCAGGTGTTAGGGGAAGAGACTCCATCCTTTTAGGGGTTTCAATTAGCCACCTCTGGCCCATCCATGGTGACTCAGTTCATGTTTAACGTTGCCCTTTTCTCTCCACAGGTAGTATTTCCTGTAATAAAGCTCTTTGTAAATGTGTTGTTTTGAAGTTGAATGTTTCTTAGCCTTTCTGTCTTCCTTGTTGGAACTTCTTTGTTTTCTGTAACTATATGTTTACTGCTTAAGGGTGCTTATACCGAACTACATGTTTACCTCATAATATTATTTAATCACGCATACTGTGTGTAGTTCTGATGGTCTAGTCACCTAACCGCATGTTGAATGGAGAGAAAACAGGGGTTGAAGGTAGAAGGATGTTTGATATAAGAAAGGAAAGAATCCCAGTGTGGCTTAGTGAATAAGGGGAGACTGTGGTGAGAGAGAAGGCAAGAGACAGCATTTGGGTCGGATCAGTGATTGGCTGCCCCTGTCCTTAAACTATTAAGTACTAACCGTACTGGGGGAGGGCAAATGTCTTAAGGAGAATTACAGAAGTCAGGATGGATTTCACTTTGGAAAGGAACCTAAACACTTCTAAAAACACGCAAATGGGAACTTCCTGAGGGGAAGAAAGATTTATTTAACTTTATTTTATGTGCATTGGTGTGAAGGTGTCAGATCCCCTAGAACTGGAGTTACAGATGGTTGTGAGCTGCCATGTGGGTGCTGGGAATTGAACCCCGGGTCCTCTGGAAGAGCAGCCAGTGCTCTTAAATGCTGAGCCATCTCTCCGGTGCATGAAGAGAACTTCTTAGCTTCATATTTTTCATGGAATTTTTTAAGATGTTAAATCATGAAAAATTACATATAAGTACTGTGTGGGCCTGAAGGGTGACCTGAGCTATGGTAGAATGAACTATTTAATGGCTTGACATGAGAAAAATTGTATTGACGTTGGTAAACTGGAAACGTAGAACATTGCTATTTATATGAATTTAAGCTATGGTTTTAAACTAAAGTCTAAAGTAAAAGCTTTAAAATGAAAGAATTAGAGTATTTTTTTTTTGGCCTGAAGAAAAATTAACATAGAGTTAAAAATGTGTTCTTTGTTACTTTTGCAGATGGTACCATAAGAATATTACTAGAAACCAGACGGAACGCTTATTGAGACAAGAGGTAATTCAGTATGTCCAGAAAAAGTCTGTGAATATTTCTAGTTATCCTGAGAAGTCTATTATGAAGATTGTAGCATTCAAAAAGGAGTATTCATATTCTTTCTAATCTTAAAATACCGTTACAAACTCATTTCCACTGCACATTTTTCTAAGTCAGACATGGGCATTTTTGCCTAAGATCACCTTTTCATGGACTGCCATCGTAATTTCAGAAACATGTTTCTCTTGAAAGGATTTTGACTCCAGACTCTTTCATTCAATATGTATTCTCTCAGTGGAGTGTGTATCTGAGTTACCCACATGACAGTGGTTCTCAACCTTCCTAATGCTTCGGACTCTTTAATACAGTTCCTCATGCTGTGGTGACCCCCTAACCATAAAATTATTTTTGTTGCTACTCCGTAACTGTAATTGTGCTGCTGTTATGAATTGTAATGTAAATATCCGTGTCTTCCATGGTCTTAGGTGACCCCCTTGAAAGGGTCATCAGATCGAAAGCGGTCGTGACCCCAGATCGAGAACACTGACATATTACCCCTTTGCACAACAGAACCTCTAACCTTGTGACCTCTGCTTACACTCCCGAAAAACACAAATACAGAGAACTATGCAGTACTAGTTTCTTTAGTCTTCTGGAACAAAGGGGAGAGTTGGTGGTTAAAATAGTAAATTCAGATCAAAACTACCCATTTAGGTCAAACCAAGACAAAACAGTGTAGAGTCCAAGTTTCCAACTGTCAGTGCACGGTAACTGCGGGGGAAATGAAGAGTCAAACCCGAACCTGGAGAGGAAGTGTTGTGTCATTCTGTGCCGGCCTCAGATGTTCAGGGACTCCAGAAACGTGAAGGAGAATCAGTTTCGTCTATAAAAGAATCCACGTCAGCAATGGCCCAGGGTGCAGAGAGGACTCACTCTGAAAAGGGGGGACATGTGGAAGATGGGGATGCAAGACTTGGCCTCAGGTGTGGGCGGAGCCTAGACAGGCTTAATTAGCCCTGCTTGCTAGAGAAAGCTAGTGAAATCGGTAGCTCCGCCCTGGAAAGTTAGGGGAAGGAAAGCTGGGAGCAGCTTCCCAATAAGCAAGATGATAGAGGTCACATGATCCAAATCACAGAGCTGTGTATGTCCAGCACAAGGGATTCTGCAATTGGAACGTCTCATCTTGCTGAAGACACTAGAGCCAAGAGTTATGGAACACCTACATGCCTGCCACAGTGATGCAAAATTAAAATTTGGTCCTGATTTTTTTTCATTTATTTTTGTTTTCCTTTGTTTGTGATAACACCTCATGTAGCCCAGGCTGGCCTCAACTTCACTAAATACCTGAGAATAGTTTTTAATTTGTGATATTCCTTCCTCTAGCCCCCAAGTCTGGATTACAGGTATATGACACTATGTTCTGCTGCCCTGACATCTCCAAGAGTCTAAAATTACACAGTTGAAGCCCTCTACATCATTCCCCTCTACATTCACTAAAGGCAGTCACAAAAGACAGATGTATTCTCATTTTTTTCATTGATTTATGTTTTTATCATTTATATACATGAATAATTTTACCACTTGACATAAAGAAGATCATATACATTGATATTTGATTATTTTTGAGACAAAGTCTCACTGTGTGGCCCAGGTTGAACTCAAACTTGAGGTAGTCCTCCTGCCTCAACCTCCCAGGTATTGGGATCATAGGTATGATCCACCATCCAAGACTTTAGATTTTTATGAACACTTTGTTTTAAAAATTCATTCATATGTGTACATGTAGAACCACCATATTATTTAATATTTCATTGTATGCATATATAAAATCTATCCAATGTTCATAAACATTCAAACTGGTTCCTGATTCTTATGGTTTGGAACACTGGAATGATATGCTCCCTTGTAAAAATCATCTTGCATACACACACACACACATACACACACACACACACACACACACACTGAATGTCCAGATTTAATATTGCTCACACACACACACACACACACACACACACACTGAATGTCCAGATTTAATATTGCTAGGTATTTTATAGACTTGATTCAGAATAGTTTGACTGGTTGTGGTTGTTTGAATGAGTATGGTCCCTTTAGGTTCATATATTTAAATTCTTGGTCCCCAGTTGGTGGAACTTGTTGGGAAGAATCAGGAGGTGTGATCTTGTTGGAGGAGGTTTGTCACTGAGTGGGGCATGGTTTGAAGATTCAAAAGCCCACACCATTACCAGTTAGCTCTTTCTTTTTCTGCCTTGTGCTTGTGGCTGAGATGAACGCTCTCAGCTATTGCTCCAGCACCATGTCTATCTGTCTGTTGCCCTATTCCCCACCAGGATGGTCATGGACTCTAGTCCTCTGGAACTGTGTGCCCCAAATTAAATGGTTTCTTTTAGAAGTTGCCTTGGTCATGGTATTTTGTCATGGAAACAGAAAAGTAAGATCGTAGTTTGTACTTTTATTTATCTAAGAATTTCAGCCAAGTAGACAATATAATTTGATTATGTTCACCTCCCCCTTCTTCCAACTCCTCCCAGATCTCTCCTCACATCTATCTTCCAACTCCACATCCCTTTCAAAAGAAGCCTGCTAAGTATAATTGCCTATACATGCACAGGGGTAAAGCCATCCTCTGGAGTATGGTCAACCTACCATGGGCCATATCCCTAACAAGAACTGTGTGTAGGCCAGAGGTTGATATCTGGAATCGTTCTTGATTGCTGTCTATATGTTAAGATAGGGTCCCTCTCTTGAACCCAGAATTTGCTGATTTGTCTAGTCAAGCCAGCCAGATTGTTTCAGAAATTCCCTGTTTCTGTCTACCAGATGTTGGGATTACAGGCAGGCTGTCACACGTGCCTGGCATTTGCACGGTGCTAGGGATCCAAACTCGGATTCCCATGCCTGTGCAGCCAGTGCTTTACCCACTGAACCATCTATCTCCTCAGACCCTTATACATACTCTTCTACAAGCCACTCTTCCTTCCTACACAAGTGTGTCTTTCATTGGCTTTATATCGGCATATCATTTTCTAGTTTAGATGTATCACTGTCTTAGTCAGGGTTTCTATTACTGTGAAGAGTCGCCATGACCACTGCAGCTCTTATAATTTAATTTAATTGGGGCTAGCTTATGGTTCAGGGTTTAGTACATTATAGTCATGGTGGGTGGACATGATGCTAGAGCTGTGAAGAGTCGCCATGACCACTGCAACTCTTATAATTTAATTTAATTGGGGCTAGCTTACGGTTCAGGGTTTAGTACATTATAGTCATGGTGGGTGGACATGATGCTAGAGAAGGAGCTGAGAGAAGGAGTGTGTGTCCCTGGGCATGGTTTGAGCATAGGAAACCTCAAAAGCCCACAGCCACAGGGACACAACTTCCTCCAACAAGACCACACCTCCCTATGGGGGTCATTTTCTTTCACACCACCACAATCATAATTTGTAAATCAATAGTTCATTATGGAAAGTAAGTGAGATGTACTCTCTTTCCCTATTAAAACAATGTTGCCTTCAATTCTCTCCTCACACACATCTTTTTCCATTTATATGAGTCTTTTTGTAGAATAAATCTCCAGATGGAAATCCAAAGCCAAAGGGAATGTGTATTTCTAACTTCCATAGACCTCAAAGTGCCCTTGTAGGAGTGGTGAGGGGTCTAGATACCCACCGGAAATATAAGAGCAGCTGTTTCCCACAGCCTTTCCAGGCAGCGTATCAAATGAAACATCTGGCTCCTTCATCTGGTGCTTTATTTCACTGTGAATTTGATTCATATTCTCTTAGCCTAGAGATGTTAAACATTTTTCGTACGTTACATTTTATGTGTCTGATTTTCTTTGTTTTAACTGTTCATATTCTCTGTGGGCTTTTCTACTAGGTTTCTGATACATTTCTCAGAATCTATCGAATCAATGTAGCTATAGCTAAGGAGATTAATTCTTTGTGGCATGTGGCAATATTTCCTCTATGTTTTCAATTGTCCAGCCATTTTCTGGCATGAACTAGATATTTGGATTTTACATGTTTGAATTTATCATTCAAAGTTTTTTGTAAAATTTGCTAAACTGTATCAACATAGAATTGCTTTCTCTACTCCAAGGTGACAAGAAAATACTCCCCATGTTTCCTCATCAGGAAACATAAAACATGCTAGTGGTTTTATTTTGTAAACTTATACTTTTGGTTCATTCCTAATGTTTCCTGATGCAATGAGTAAGGGGAGGATTACTGAATTTCTGTAAGTTTACCAAGTATCTTTCTGTTATGCAGTCACTTTAGTTGCCACATTCATAATGATAAAAAATTTTATTTTGGATTACATCTGTATTTTCTACTTGTCATCATTGGTCAGCCTGTCTGTTCATAAGCTGTTTTAAATATGGAGGCTTTCTCTGGTGTCCCAGGCTTCCCTCACTCTCAGAATCACCATGATACATGGAGACAAACCTTCCCATGGTTGTGCTGAATATACAGGTACTCTGAGTCAGTGGGCTGTGTGCCATGAGGTTTCTGATGCTACTGGATTCAATTTATTAACATTTTCTTTAATATTTGTGATGAAATGAGGCCACTCAGTGGTTTTACTTTTTGTGCAGCCTGGGCTGGGTTGATGTCACTGATGGTAAAAATGACCTCACACACTTACATTTTGAAGTTTATATTTTGTTCCTTTGCTCTGGAATAGTTCAACCTCTGTACTATTTTTTTTCTGTTGCTTTGTGGTCAATAAACACTGTTTGTGGCCTTCCTTCTTTGACGTTTTATAAGCAGAGACCACTCCATGTACAATTTTGTTACGTGCATGATCTATATGTTGATATCCCAACTATACTAGACACACATAAGTACACACACAACTTTTCTTTCCACACCTTTGCCATTAACATCTTGTGTTTCCCTTTGGTATACGATGCAACACTTGTGCATCACAGTAATTCAATAAAAGCTGGATTTTGTTGTTTACAATGCCTGTAAGAGAGTTCAGTTGAGGATTGAGGCTAATGTCTTGCTGCAAGTGTGGGAGAAGACTGTGTTTAGTATCTTAAGTGCACTGTGAGGGCTGTCCATGCTGCTTGGGTAACAACACACTTGTCAAGCATAACCTTGAACCTTCTGTGGCAGGGGTTCTCAACTTGTGTGTGTGACCCCTTTGGGGGGGATCGAATATCAGATATCCAGCATATCAAATATTTACACTGAAATTTGTAACAGTCGCAAAGTTCCAGTTATGAAGTAGCAATGAAATAATTTCATGGTTGGGGTCACCACAGCATGAGGCACTATATTAAAGGGTGGAGCATTAGAAGGTTGAGAGCCACTGGTCTGTGGGTTTTGTGAGAGATCTGTGGTCGTTCTGCCTTCGGGAAATCAAGCACACCCAGCAAAGCAGAAAAACTCTATAACAGAAAACAAAACACTCAACTGTCAAAGTGATTGGAAAGCAATTTACAGTTTTCTCAGAGTTTCTTTAAAGACTGTCCACAGGGACCTAATGTCCTCTCTTCATCTCTCCCACATCCTACAATGGTTTGCAACTCCCAAAGGATCCCCTACATGTATTCTTTTCACGAACTCTAGTCTCTTGTCCTAACCTCTGACTTTGCAGAAATATTTCTCTGTGCATACTTCATTCTACTTCTTTTAACATGCAGTCTTGTCAATCTGTCTTAGAGTTTGTTTTTATGTGGATCAGTGATCTTCATCTGTTATCCTAATCAATACACCAGAAACCACTAAATACTGGGTGCCAGTTTGTCAAAACGAGGACTTTTCCTGGAAAAATCGAGTATAATGTTTTAAAATAGTCACATTTTGTACCTTTCTTATCTAACTTACCTTCTCTTAGACATATGATTGCTAAACATGTGAAAGAGATAAGGTAGCATGTACTTGCAAAAACAATCTCATTCTTTGATAGTAAGATTATAGAAGTCACTTATTTTTTTATATGTTACTTATAGTAAATCTATCTAGATTTGTTTTTTATCAGTGATGTCTTGGTTTGTTTTTCTAAGTAGGAATACATTTGTATAGTGACTGCATTTTGTTTTTTGCAGGCTAAAGAAGGTGCATTTATTGTGAGGGATTCGAGACATTTGGGGTCTTACACAATTTCTGTGTTTACAAGAGCTGGAAGGTAAGCATCTGTGATTTTGATTACTTTAGAGATAATTCTTGGGACAGTTCGCTTTTATGCAGATACCATCACATAGGGACCTTGAGAAAGGGCTCAGCTTTTGGTGGAGACTTTTGGCCTGGAAACTGGAACAACTACCCAGTTCACATTGTATCTCTGACATATCTATTACAGGACATGTAATACATTATGTAACATGGTAAACCTATCACATTGCTTTCTTTCTCTTCCCTTTACCAACCAACCCTCCTGATCAAGTTAGATTAGTTGTGGCAGACACTGTTGGCATGTTCCTCAGACCCGAATCTCTTCTCGGGTTGCTTTGCACAGAGTGCCAAGCTTCCTGTGCCTTTAGGCCTACAGTGTTCTGTGACTATGAGAACTTGTGATGTGGTAGAGATACCTGAAAGGCAGCGCCTCAGGAACATCTCTCCCTTGGTGAGGGAAGCAACTGAGGAGTGACTGCCTCAGCTTGTCTGCAGTGTAATAATGAAGCCCTAGTTGCCCAAGCAGTAAGCCTGCTTAGCGGTGTTCCAGCCCTTCACGATGAAATTTCTCATTTCTTTAGTCGGCATTTAACATTCAGGAAATGTTTATGTGTGCTTTACGATGAACATCACCTTTTTGTGCATGGGGCTTGTCTTCTAAAGTTATGTTGAATATGTGGTACCAGTAAGACATTTGAGGGATTTTCCTGGGATGATCCGGCATTTGTTGAGCCCATGTGTTCTCTCATCAGTGTGTAGTGTCGCCAGGAAGAAAGCTTGAACACTAGGGTCCCACTGCTTAACACACTGACTTAATTCTAAAGCAGCCTTTTGTTTCTCTTGTAACTGTCATTTTATTGACTACAGAAGTACACAATCTTCAGTAAAACATTATCAAATTAAAAAGAATGACTCAGGACAATGGTATGTTGCTGAAAGACACCTCTTCCCATCAGTTCCGGAGTTGATCCAGTATCACCAGTACAATGCAGCTGGTAAGTGAGGTGTAGGTGGACTTTATTGTTGGGACCACCGGCTCCCCAAATGACCACACAGAAACATATTATTAATTATAAACACTCTGTCGATAGCTTAGGCTTTTTACTAACTAGCTCTTTCAACTCAAATTAATCTGTATTTCTTATCTATGCTCTACCACAGAGCAGTACCTTTTCTCAGCTAGGCATGTTCATCTCTTGCTTCCTCTGCATCTGACTGGAAACCCTGCCTTCCTTCTTCCCAACATTCCCTGTCTGGTTCCCCTGCTTAACCTCTTTCTGCTTAGTAATTGACCATTTGGCTCTATATTAAACCAATGAGAGCAAAACATCTCCACAGTGTACAAAAGGACTATTCCACAGCAGTGAGGAGTCAGGTCTAGTGAGAAGGGCGGGGCCAGTCCCTTGACAGGGAAGGCATGCATGGTCTTAGATGTTCAACAACAGCAAAACACCCTAGACCTCCAGCCTAAGGGTTTGAAATACAACCTTTCTTCAGCAATTGTTGTTTTCATCATTTTTATCCTAGTTGAGGAGGAAGACTTGAGTTGCAGTTTTTGATTTCTATCATATTAGAAAGATGGTGGATGACAGAGGAGCCAAGGGGATTTAGTTATGTAAGTATTCTGGAAGGTTAAATAGGGTTAAATGTAATACAGCTTCAAATCCCAAAATAACGAGGCTCCTTTACTTCGCCCCCACAAATAACAGGAAATTATCTTTAAGCCTCCCAGCCTCTATTCTTTCTTGTTTTGAGAAAATACAAAGTTATGAAGAACCCAGGCTTTCACAGTTATAATTTGACCTAAATATTGCAGAATACTGAACCCTCTACTCAGCTATTGTTTGTCCATCTCTCCTTATACAAACCTATCATTTCTGGAAGGCTAAGGGATCTCAGAAAGTTATAGCACAATCATAGATACATTTCTGGTCTTCAACCCTCAGCCAGTCTGTGCCAGGCCACTTGGAGCCAGAGGCAAAGGCTTTTACCTCAGCATTACAGAACTTGGAACCAATCCACTGTAACTTAATCTACCTTTTTCTCATGTGTTTCTTTTGAATATTCCATTCATGAAAAGTTGTATTGACCAAAACAAAACAAAAACCAAAAACAAAACAAAAAACTCTTTTGAAATGAGAACACTATTCCTTGACACTGGTTTTGCACATCAAGAACAAATCCCAGGACACATGTCTCCACTTATGGGTTGAATCCACGTGCATTTCCAAGTATCAGAAGCAGCTTGGCTAGAGAGAGGTGTGGGGGAGAGGCCTGGAGGTCCAGGATCAGACTGAAGATGCAATCTACCCCCCAGCCCCCAACACACCAGCAGGCCAGTTCTGAGTTTGCTTTCTCAACAGCCCTTCCTCTTTCTCCTTCCCTTAAAGAAACACTTAAGAAAGAGTATTATGTGGTGTGGTTACAAAATGATGCAAGACCAGGAGGTGACAACATTAAGAGTTAGAAATGATAAACTGTTTGCAATATAAATACTCTTGGCTAGTTGCAAATGCAATCAATTTCACATCCCAAATATGTTCATTTAGGTCCCTGACTCCTCAGTATCAGGGCTGCCCTAATTAATCATTGCTCCCAGGAAAAAATTTCTAGCAGCTTCTTAATGCTTTGTGTCCAAAGTTCATTTCCCTTCAGTCTACTTCAGTGCTACTGCCAGTGATCTAACAAAAATGGAAATATGAAGATTTCACTTTCTTGTTTGAGACTGACACCCCACCCCCATCTCCGTCACGCCATCTCTTCCTCCTTCCCTTTGCTGCAAAATGCAGTGCTCTCTGACAGGGCTCACAAGACCCATCGTAACCAGGATAATGCATACTTCTTGAATGTAACTTTTTGCCTCTTCCTACCTCCTGCTCTTTGTTAAGTACCCACCTTCATGCAAACCCATATGCTTGGTGTTCTTGGTCTGTGTCCCAGTTAGCCTGTGTGCATCTTCATTATTTACATTAGAATGGTCTATCTCTTGTGTTTCTTCACTGAGTGAGAGCTTTCTGTAGGCAGATTCATCTCAATTGTTTTTGGGTCTGTTGAGGTCTTGGGGATTTACCTGGAAGAGAATTCTGTATATTTTAGGTCTTAATGCCTTCTGACTTTCTACTAGCCGAGCTTGTCTCTGCCTCCCAGCATTTGCACATGCTATTCATTGGCCTGGCTTCCCCTGATGATCTTTGTGAATGACTCTGTGTCAGTCAGAGTCATCATTCCTACCATCTTGTCTAAAAGGCCCTTCTAGATCACTCCTTCTCAGATCACTGTGTTTTATCCACTCGTTGGCCTGGCTTCCCCTGATGATCTTTGTGAATGGCTCTGTGTCAGTCAGAGTCATCATTCCTACCATCTTGTCTGAAAGGCCCTTCTAGATCACTCCTTCTCAGATCACTGTGTTTTATCCACTCTGTCTTGTGTTTACTGTCTACTTTTTTTTTGTGGGTACACACACTGGTTTATTTCCCATGCCTGCTACAAAGTGGGAGTCTGTGAAAGCAGAGGCCATCAGCATCTCATTCAACACTGTTTCCTAACATTAAGATAAAACACAATGCAAACACACTGTCAATGAGAAAAATCGAAGAAACAAATAACGAATGTTTATTGATGAATTGAAAGTGTAGAATCATGTTGACCTAGTCAAATGGCCTTACTCATTCTACTATGCTACCTTCAAACACAACAAAAACAAAATAGAACAACAACAACAACAAAAAATCCCACAAAAACCTATTTCTTAAAGGTGTTCAATTTGATGGCTAAGTGAAATTTTCTAGCACTTTTGGAAACAATTTGATCAAATATCCCATTTTATAAGGGGAAAATTTGAGAGAATGCATACAAATCCACGTTCAAGAAAATATAGCATATTTTATAATAGTGAGATCTCAGAAATATTTTAGGGTCCACTTATAGTTGTCAGTATGTATAAACTACATGCTTAGTATGAAAGTTTAAAATAAAACACTGATATTTTTATAATGTATTTCATACATACATGTTTCCAATTATTCAAAAAAAAAAAACCAGTTCTGCCAAGTTTTTCACCAAAGTGCTAACAATTCATCTGTACACACTGAGATTTTGTGAGAGGATTTTTTGTTGACTTAGAGTCTCCAGATTGTGTATAGTGAGTATATATGAAATGTTTTCAAGTGGAAATCAGAGAACTACAATGACTTGCAGCTCTTCTGCCTCATTATTTAAAGATGAGTGCTATATTCTACTATACCTAGATCTTTCTTCTGTAACTAGTAACGAGTGTTGATATGCTCATTTTTCTTTCTCCTTAGGTCTCATGTCCCGTCTCCGATATCCAGTTGGGCTTCTGGGCAGCTGTTTACCAGCCACTGCTGGTTTTAGCTATGGTAAAGTACACACATATGCTGAGGGAAGACATCTGTCTGTTTGTCCATCCATCTACCCACCCACCC